AAACCGTTCCCGTGATCCTGCATCAGTACTGCTCCGACTGCCTGGTCACTAGCGTCCGCTTCAACTACGTAGTCCTTGTCGGGGTCCGGTAGGATGAGTACTGGCACTGTGGTCAGTGCTGTCTGTAGCTGTTCCATGGCTTGCTGATGAGGAGTATCCCATCTGAAGGGCGTATCCTTTTTCAGTAGGTCGGTCAGTGGCGCTGCTATCTTAGCGTACTGCGGCACAAACCTGTTGTAGTAGTTGGCGAAGCCGAGGAACTGCTGCAACTCTTTCACGTTTTCCGGAACCTTCCACTTTTTAACGGCTTCGATTTTCCGCGGGTCCACGTGCACGCCCTTGGCACTCACCATGTGCCCGAGAAACTGCACTTTCTCCAGTGCGAAGTCGCTCTTGGACAGCTTCACGTAGAACTTATTCTTCCGCAGGATTTCGAACACCTTCCGCAAATGCTCCACGTGCTCCTTCATGTTCTTGGAGTAGATGAGAATGTCATCCAGGTACACCACTACGCACTCGTCCAGCAGGGGTCGAAGGATGTGGTTCATCTCCGCCTGAAACGTTGCTGGTGCGTTGCAGAGTCCGAACGGCATCACCAAGTATTCGTAGGAGCCGTATCTTGTACGGAACGCCGTTTTGTGGATCGAGTTGTCCGCCATCTTGATCTGCCAGTAACCCATTCGTAGGTCCAGCTTCGAGAAGACTGTTGCACCACGTAGTTGGTCCAGTAAGTCGTCGATGCGCGGTATGGGGTATTTGTTTTTGACTGTCTATTTGTTCAGTGCGCGGTAGTCGATGCACATCCGTAGACTGCCGTCTGGCTTTGGGGTGAAGAGAACTGGTGCACCGTAGGGAGATGTGGATGGGCGGATCAGTTGTCTGTCCAGTAAATATTCGATCTGTTTTTTCATGTCTGTCAGCTCGGTCGGACTCAGTCGGTATGGTGCACGTGAGACGGGTTTCGCACCTGGTTCCTCCACGATCTCGTGCTCGTAGGTGCGTGCTGGAGGTACGCCTGCAGGTAGGTCGTCGGGCATTATATCCTTGTACTGCTCCAAGACCTCCTTTACTGCTGCAGGTAGCTCCGAACTCGGCTTCTCCTCCTCTGCTGCTGCCATGACCAGTGCTAGGTAACCCGTGTTACTCTTGTTCACCGTCCGTTCGAACCGTGCCAGTGTCGTTTCAGGAATATCCCCTGTATCCGTCCAGCTTCGCAGTGCTATCCGCTTCCCGTTGTTGTAGATGCACACTTTACTGTTGACCCAATCAATCTCGGGGTTGAACTGCTTCAGGAAATCTCGCCCCAAGATAAAATCTAATCCCTTGATATTCGTGATCGGCAACGTCGGCTTCCACCTTAGCGCCCCTATGTGCAGCTGCAGTGATGTTTCGCCGTGGATGGGAAGCTTCGTACCGTCCACCATTGTTGCAGAGAATTGTGTCTCCTCCGCCTTCTCTCCGATTTTCTCCAATGTCTCGCGGTCGCACACCGAGTGAGATGCACCGCTGTCCACCAGTGCCTGGAGGCGTCGCCCTTTGCAGAGAACCTCGAGGAGTAGTGGTTGTTGCCGCTCCGAGTAGCCGTAGATGGTCTCGCTTACTGGATCATAGGGTACGTCGAAGAGATCATCCCCAGATCCTGCGCTCGAAGCTGCTGACTCCGTATCAGTTTTCAACTGAGTAGGGTTAGAAGGATTTATCCGAGGCCGATTCAGCTTCGTCTTGGCCTGGAACCTTCTCTTAAGCCGTTGCAGCTGTGTAGGCTTCTCCTGTGGGCAATGGGGAGCCTTAACACTGTGCTGCGGGGAGAGAGTATTAACTCCTTGGAACGCACGACCCTTTTCAACGCTCCGGAGTGGGTTGCCCAGCTTCTCAAGTACCTGAATAATCTTCGAGGCCTTTTTCTTAGCCTCTAAATCTCCCCTGAAGGCTTGAAAATCACGAGAAGTAATATTCTTAGTTAAAGTATCTTTGTAGGATAACTTTAACGAATTCTTACTTTCGTGGGTGTTCGGCTGGAGTTTCCCGGTCGGTGCAGAGTCTTGTTTCGCGGAGCCTCCATTTGTCTCGGCGATTTCCCCTGGTGCCGGCCGGTCGTGGCGTTTTAAATTCGCGCCATCATGTCCTCCTTTTTTCGCCCGCTCCGAAGTCGCCACGTTGTTTGACTTCGAGGGTTCCGTACTGTTGTTGCCCTGCAGCTCTGCTCGTGCCTTCTTCATTTTCCAACACGCCAAGAGTCGATGTCCTGCTGCGCCGCAAAATTCACATGCCTCGCATTTTGTCGGCTGCTGCTTCGCGTCGATCTTGTCGATATCCATCGGGTCGGCGGTCGTGGGTGGTGCCGATCGCTTCGTGTCGAATGATCTGTTCGGCACGTGGCGTCGTGTCTCGGGTTGACCTCGCGTCAGCGCATCGAATCTCTCTGCTACACACACCATGTCGTGGTAGTTATTGTAGTTCGCGGCAATCACTTGTCTGCGGACTTCCATTTTTAGCCCCTCAGTATACGCTTGGATTTTTTCCCCTTCGGTCAGGTCGGTAATTCGGTTGAAGAGGCTCTCCATCTGCTGCGTGTACTGTGTTACACTGCCGTACTGTTTGTGCCGATGAATCTGCTGCCGCGCCATGTAGCTCGAATTAATCGGTTCGAAGCGTTGAATTAAAGCTGCCCGAAACTGCGTCCATGACCCCTCGCCTCGGATCTCCTTACTGTTGTAAATCCATTCGAGCGCCGGGCCTCGCAACAGTGTCGCTGCGAGCCGAATCCGCATTGCATCGTGTGTCGGGGTCGTACAGCCAACGGCCTCGAAGTAAATTTCGAGTGTAGCAATGAATCGACGGACGTCGGTGTCTCTTGCATTCGGATTGAACGTCTCCGGTAGCCTTGGACGTGCCGCCTCAAGATTCACTGTGGCTGCTGCTTGGTGAAGTGTCGGTGTCGCCGCTGCTGCTGCTGCCGTCGCTGCTGCATTCGCTGCTACGTTCGCTGCTGCCGTGGCGGCTGCCGACTGGTTCGCGAGAAGCTCCTCTATTCGCTGGAGTGCCGCTCGCATCTGGTCCACGTCGGTGCGTAACTCCGTAATTTTTCGTACGGAATTTTCACCATTTTCCTCCATTTGGCGATTTACAGGAAGATTTGCGACGGAAAGAATTGCATTCTAGGCGCTGGTCGACTTACTGCGATTAAACTCGACTGTAGAAATAACGAGCGCTAGATCCGTATGCCACGTAATTCTCCCTTGAACGAAATTCGCATCTGACCCCGGCTGTTGAGAAGAGAATCGATCCGACGCTCCAAATTCCAACTTTTTTGGGCGAAATTCTCAGGGCCGTTGAGATTCGAATCGATCGGACGGTCGAAATTCCAACTTTTTCGCCAATGAACCTGAGGAGGATTCGAAAACCGGTTCGAGGGGGACGTTAAAGAATAGCGCGGAACTGGTTTACGTACCCGAAATCGGCGCCTCTTGTCGTCGCCCCCGCGGTTTTAAAAGCTAGGTTTAAGTGGTCGAAAAAACTTCGCGAGTAAACAGGCTCTGATTACCAAGTGTGAGGATCTAGGATCGAGCTCAGAAAAGAGAGTTTGAATTGAATGATCACCCGGGTACAACACGAGGCTATATATAGGCTCGACACAAGGGGCAGTAACCAGGTGTTACGCGAAGGTTCTGGGGGTCGCGAAGCGTCCCGAACAGACCCTTCCCGAATTCGGTAGAAGGCAATTCGGTGGCAACCGAATAGCCCAGAATTCGGTGTACGCAACCTAGCTCGGTGCTATAACTATAATAAAATATAGGAAAGCACCTAGCCTAGGAATTCAAGCAATTCATGCATGCATAAAATAAACCTAAGCTAGAAGTAGCATAATAAAGTAAAGGCAAGCATGCATAGCTGGTATAAGCCGACGTACTCTCACAGTCGTCCGATGATGGCGCCGGAGGTGCGTCAGGTTCCCCGTCCACTCGAGCAGAGCCCTCGACCACGTCTTGAACAGGACGTTTGCGCCTGCGACCAGCCTTTCCGCTGGAAGCAGCTGTTCCGTCAACCTGCCGGCTTGACTGTGCAGATTAGGAACTACCTTCCGAAGTGCTCCCATGCGACATACGCGAGTCCGCCCGAGTCCCATGAGACGGTGGCACGGCTGCATCTCACACCAGTAAACAAACAACGGAGTTCAGTGACAAGCGGAAAGCACATACGTGCATGCTGTGGATAATCGAAAAAGGCCGGGAAACAACAGACGAAGCGGCAAACTCATTGGCAGTGCGTCTGGGGTTGGGTACTCACGTGGCGGCGAGGGAGGACCCCTGGCTTGCTGCTCGTTGGCATGCTTCGAAACATCCAGGCGAGGCTTCTTCGTCACCTTACGCCTAACGTTCCCAAGCAGAAGGTAAGAGTTTCGTAGGTAGGCAGGTGGCTGTGACACGCGCTGACTCCTCCCCTCACGTGACGACACGGTGAAACTGTCCATTGTGTACGAAAGTTGTGGGCAGGAATGACTTTAGCGGACACATTGTCCACTACTTACGCATTCTGAGTCCACGCCAATCGTGCGTCTGTGCGTTACCCCCCCATTACACGTGGCCATCAATTGTCGGACAGGCTGCGGTCGTCTTCTGGCGGGTTTTGCCCACATGGCTCAACCCTGATGCAAAGTTATCCACATATTGCGTTATAGAGTCACGCCAATTGTACAAATGCAACACATTGTGTGAAGCTCGTAAAAGTCATCCGCGACTGTATACTCAGACAATGGATAATATTCATTATGCGCCAGCCTGCTTGACACCCACAGTGCGACATCAGCGCATAGTTGACTCCTCTCAACAGGAGACAGTACTACATCTAACATCACAAGACACATATAGTACGATGCTTCCTATACAGGTCCAACGTCAGAAAGTCTGCCTCAAGCACAGCTAGGTGCCTCGTCCAGTTTATGTGCCAGTTCCAGTTCATGCCTCCGTGCCACTACATATACGTACTCCATGTCCGCTGCGCTAATCGCACACCGTCTCCACACCATGACCCATCCTGACTTGCACGTCTTCATCGCTGCTGCTGTTGTCCGGCGACCGCGTGCCACTGTTTTCCAGTGGGAATGGAGTACCAGGCTCGATGCCCAGCTCTGCCAGCGCTGTCCTCCACTGACGCCACCTCCACCACATCCGTGCCTTGACCAGATGACGCACGTCGTCGCGAACACACCCCTCCAGGCACTCCTTCTCCTCGTCCGTCAGCTCCTTCACGTGCTGGATGTGGTCATTACGCCTGATCACAAAGGCTGCCGCGGCATACGCATACGCCGCATCGAGCTCCACAGTATATGCGCCCAGCCGAATCTGCTGACCTGTGCCTGGGCCGCACACCATCTTGACACCCCACTTTCGGCCGCGTGCGCACCAACTCACACCTGTCCAGCGGCTGGATGCAGGCCGCCCACCGTACACGGTAAGCATGCTGGTCTGACGCACGGGCCGTCCTACAGTCCTGATGCCCAGACGGAGGCGATACCTGGCAGAGCGCGAGACCATCGGCTGTGGTGCCGGAGTCACTGGAGCGGCTGGGAGATCCTGCTTCTCCTTCTTGGGCCTGACATCAGCAGGTGTGGGCTCACCATTACTGGGTGACGCCCCTTCGAAATGCGCAGACGGGACCGATGGCTGCGGAAGCGGACATGGAGCCGGGTGGATGGACGTGCCGAGCGTCCGCATAGATGCTGCGTGCTCCACGGCGTTCTTGGACGTGGACAGAGCCAGCAGAGGCGTCCCGTGTGCCTGAAGCTCGTGTGCCGCTCCACTCAGCAGTTGTTCCTCCGAAATGCCTAGCGTATGACAGCCGCACACATAACGTAACCCCCTATCTCCATACGGGCTATCATGCCTGACTGCCTCGCGAGGTCCGTGCGGACTTCGTCCTCCTTGGGAAAGACGAGGGCGCCGTGTTCTCCCACCTGGGGAAGAGGCTGCACGGGAACCTCCACACCCTCCCCAAACAGCTTCACAATAAGGTCACCTGTGGCGTGGAGGGACACCTCTTCGCGGAGCTGGCGCCGGTATGCGTGTGACTTCGCGCCGTAGAACGTCATGAACTGTTTGAGGATTGAAAAGCCGGATGAAACCAGGGCGCGAAGATACATGCCGACATAAATCCCACAGTCTACCGCGTTCGACTGCTGTGGGTGGTCTTCCGGCTGCCAGGAAACACATAACATGAGAAGGCACACGTCAATTGACCGACGCGCCAGACAGTGCCCGCGACATGGATGCGACATGAAGTCCACTCACATGCATTACGTAGACTTCGGCATACTTCACATGGTCCTCCGCCTGCTTCCGGTCGGCAGTGGGCAGCTGAGCTTTGTGCAGAAGGAGCAGCATGCTGCAAATGACGCACGTTACCGGTGTTCGTTATATGTCGCATCAACGGAATTTATCATGATTGGTCAGGGCACAAATATAAGATTCACCGCTCACCTCTTGACGCCCTCCATCACTTCGGGCTTATTAGTGTGCAACTGTGCACTATCGTAATGCACCAGCTCGACGCCGCCCTCGGCAGTCTCGGATAGCTTCCCGCTGACCATTGTGCGGAGGTTCGTCGCTATGACCAGCGAGTAGTGGCCCCTGCCACGTGTACGCATGTTGTATGTTAGGGAACGTGTTTCGACATCGACTGATCTGGAACGGGGCAACTAACAACAGCATGATCTCTTGGAGGTATACGCCTTACTCGTAGTACACTGGGATGGCGAGGTAGTCCTGTGCGAAAATACACGGCGCATGTCCAAGGGGCCATGCCCTGTTCAGGTCTTTCGCGAACGTAAACGCCTTCGTGTCCAGAGCAAACCATGTTTTGCCACCTTCCAGCTTCGGGTACCTTATGTTAAGTAGTCTGTAACACACACATGCAAGATATAGTTCGTCAGTATATATATGAATACAGGACATACAGCATGTATAAGGCACACCGTTCCCCGGCGCTTACATGTTGTGGAAGTCCACCACTGTGTCCGCCAGACACTGTCCGTCAGCGAGCGTCAGGACGTCCTGTGCTGGCAGTTGACACCCCACTCCATGGGGTCCGTAAAGCGCCAACGGCTGGAAATCGCGCTGATAGCTGGGCCTTTGAAGACGGGCAATCAAATTGTCGCTTGGCGGAGGCGGCACCTCTCCTGCGCCCCTCACACCGCTGCCCGCCGATGTCACCTTACGGGGGCGGGGCAACTCCTGCTTCACCTTGCGCTTACGGCGATCCTGCTCCGTAGACAGAGTGGTCAGGGCACTGGCCGCGCAGGGCACGCTGTCCCGCTGCACAAGCATGCGTTGGATGTTCATGGTGGGCACTAAGTAGACTCAGACGCGTACTGTGGTGGTAGCCAGTAATACATGTACTGGGATTCTAGTGTCCAAAACCGTGTCTGCAGTAATGGCCGCTCATCGGCAGAATATATTAGGCAGAACACAAAGAAGCTTTGCGGAGTCGGTTGATGTTCAGAGACCTCCTGACTGGAACAAGGAACCCCAGGATAACCATAGCGCGCCAGAACCATAGCGCGCCAGATCCAGCTGTGTCGGAATAGGCGCCGAACGGTGAATATGCATGACGGGCACACGTGTCATGATTTCGCATCATGCATGAAGTCCTCGGTGGGGAATTGGGGTTTACTTTGCATGTGGCTGCGAGGTTGCAAGAGTGGTTGGGTGTGATTCATACTCGCTAATGTTCGGTTTTCACTAAGCACTCTGTTTTATTCTCGTTACGAATAAAACATTCCACAAACATGCCCCACTCGCCGGAAGCATGGACTACCACCACGTGGCGTTGGTTCGTTTCGCACATCCGTGGTGGCAATCAAACCCTATCTACATGCTCTCGATTTACACTGTTTCGCAAGAACATAATAGACATTACATCCAATACCGTAGTTGCTCTGTTGCATATGACACCCCGTAGCACGTCACTCTCCAGCGGACGTCACAGACGGCCGTTGACACTCCTACAAACCAGACTTTAAACCCCCCCGCACCATTACTCCGAGATCATCTGGCCTCAATCCGTGGTCGCTGCACATCACATAACAGTCACAGTTGAGGGACGGGGACGCTTGGTTGGCGTCCGACGCAGACGACTGACGACCAGATCGTTCGACGCGCCAAACCGCTCTGGCGTGTCCCGCACATCAATGCCGAGCTTTAGTGCCTGACGGACAAGGTATTCAGTGACGACGCGCGCCACCCGCCTGCGACAACGATGGTCATTCAGTAGCGGCCCTGGCTGCGTGTGTACTGCTATCTCGCGGCCGTCTTCGGCGCGTGGGCTGTCGTTCATTGTGCGCTGCACGCGTGGCAGGAGAAGGGACAGCTCGCAATGCGCATAATCAGTGGCATGCATGAGCGTGTGGCCTGGCCGTGCGAACTCGTCTATGATGTACTGCAGCTGTCCCAGTTCCTGAACAAGAGGTTCGGACAGGACACAGAGAACGGGGTTTTTGAACTCTCTCACAGACGACCGCCATGATGCCGGCACACAGCCGGCGCGCCACCAGCTAAGATGGAGTCAAGTCTCTCCACCTTGTACCCATCCAGTCCACCATGATGGACAGGGGAGGGGCGTATCGGAACAATGCCCCGTCGCGCCACGCTTGTGTCATCATCAAATGGCGAAGGTATGAGGCACGGTACAGCGTCTTCCACAGCTCTACCACCCCGCACACGCCGGGATGGATGCACCCAGGCGCTTTAGGACCCTGCATGTGGATGATTCGGAGGTTGCTCAGATTCTGAACGCGGAAACCGAACTCCGTCGTTTCCATAACAGCTAGATCCGTTGACGAGTGGGCGTCCGAAGTCACGAGTACGATTACATGGTCGTCCGTAGAGTACGACCGTCCGTTCAACGCTTCCAGGTACTCGCTGAATATCTGACAAGAGAAGCACGCAATGACGGGGCAGTCGTGTTAGCATATGGGATTGCATGATTATAATGCAACGGCATTCCACAAACTAGGCCGGGTATGAGCAGACGATCTCGCACCTCGGGCGTGACGCACCCGTCCACGCTGTGACGCACGAACACGGTAAAATCCTGGGGTGTTTCAAGGCCTTGTGCCCGCGCGTCGTCAGCGCGGAATATCAGAAGAGGCGGACACATGATTGTCCCTGTTGCATTGAACAGGAAGCAGACATTGATGCGCCAGCCGGGCAGCGGATCATCGTGTCCATTCTCGGAGTGAATGAAGGGGAGCCTGGTGGGTAAGAGAGGCTCCTCAACGAAGCAGTACACGCCGTCTGGATGAGCCTTTATCTGAGCCAGTAGCATGGCCATTTCAGCCATGGTTGAGAGATGGAGTACACCAACTGACTTAGTGCCGCGAATACAAGCTCTAATAGCTTACTCTGGATGGACGCTGGAATGACTGAGAGCGTCATTGTACACGGACATTATCCGCCACGTAAGCACATCCTTGCGCACTCCTGCCCACACACGTTAGAGGTATAGACACATGTAGTACCGTCATTCGGACGTTTTGCGCCACCAAACATCCGCACAGTGGCGATAACGTGTAAGATCAGTGGTCAGGATGGCGCCAGTGTACAGTGAAGAGTTGGGGTGTCGTTCGGGTGCGGTCATGTTGGATAGGTTGAGCTGTACATTGAGCCCAGTGGCAGAGCGATGATCTGATGGGGAAGAGCTTTCGGTGTGAAGGGCCAATTCAACCGTCCAAAACCGAGGACATCTCATGCTTGATCATTTTCATGCAATGATACTAACAAACGAGTACACATTCACCGTATTACACCGTGAACTTGGTCAGCGTCACCGATTCGGGTGGCCCTACCATGACAGAGGTGTTTGCTGGTACATTAGAGGTTCTGCAAGAGTGGCAGTGTTTATCGGTAATTTGCAATTAGGGTTCGCGCCACCTCTTGCGATGCTGGGTAACGCATGCGAAGCATGCGGCTTGGAGCACGTAGACGACAACACGCTCCAGTCGCATGTGTCTAAGAATGTCAAGTGCAGGAGGAAGATACAGCACTCTCGTGCCCAGCGGCTGGTGGAGGCGTATCGGGACGCGCTGCGTGCCCGGCGCGCGGCAAGGCCCCGTTCACCCGCGCGTTCTCGTCGCAGCTATGGAGGCGACGCTGCTGAGTGGGCGGCAGTGGAACCGGCTGCAGTTACCGATCAACCCGACCCTCCCGACGGCGTAGAAGAGGATAGCGACGGTGATGAGAGTGTTATGTCAGTGATTGACGACGGCTTCAACACTCTGATCGAGCTATACATCTTCTTCCGTGAGGCACATCTGTCCAGAAGGGAGGTGAACAGACTGCTCACCATTTTTCAGAACCCTAATTTCTCGCTGAGAGACGTGAGGCGGTGGCTCAATTTCGTGGACGTGAGACGCTTTGGGCGGGACAAGGCGCCGCGTGATCAGGTCCCATGGATGACGAAGGACATCAAGTGCTACGGCCCCAGAGGCAGGATGTGTACGCTACTGCTGCACTACCGGGATACTGAGCTGGTGAGTACATGGGTACATGAGATTGGAATCTGGGCGACTGCATGATGGTTTGTCTCCCCGGGGAAATGGGCAGACCAGTGACCACTCGTGTGCATGCTTGTGGCAGCTCGTCAAAAAACTACTACGCGCATTCCACCACATCGCGGGATTTGTGACAAAGCCTCGGAAGGACGAGGAAGACACGGAGGAAGTGCGGCATTACAGCACCCCCGACACGGGGAAGTGGCTGGAAGAAGCACGGGTATGTAGTACTAATCGTATGGGTGGGTGATGATGGGCAGCTCGCGCGTCACTGACGGCTGGGGCCAGCGTGTGTGCAGGCCGCGATTGGAGAGGAGGACTGCATTGTGCTGGGTGTGATTGTGTACAGCGACAGCACGCACGCCTCGAGGAATGGCAGACTGGCGGCATGGCCTGTCCTGATGAGCTTGTTCAACATCCCAGAAGCGCTACGATGGCAGGAGCCGGGCCACGTACTGGCTGGTGTGCTGCCGTTCCCGCCAGAGTGGGCCTCATCCACCGAGAAGACGCGCATCTTCCAGCAGTGCATGGAGGTCATATTCGAGCCCCTACTCCGCGCACACAGAGGGTGAGCGGGCCTAGAAGTAGAGATTGACAGCCATGATATGACTTACAAGTGTACACCTTCCAATGTCGCCGTGTGCAGGGCCGAATTGCGATGGTTTTATGTGACGGACGCGACGGGCAAGGTGTTGAAGGCCTTTCCCTGTCTTTTCGGGCAGCTGGGGGACTTCCCAGAGTCGTCTTGGTCTACAGCGACTATGCAGCAAGGGTCACATCGGCCGTGTTCTACCTGCTACATGAAGGAGACACATCTGGCAGACCTGTCGCATAAGTCGATGACGCGGACGGTGGAGCTACAGAGACGGGTCGTGGAAGCAATTCAGTCGGCGACCGACAGCAAGGCGGCGGAGAAAATCAAGAAACAATGGTCAACACACCCGGTGCAGGTGGGGGTTTCCAATGCATAATGTGTTCGTGGTTCCTCATGTGAATGTGCACACGGGGGGGCGACGCAGCGCCTGGTCACATCCGTGTCGTCTTTGCGTGTGGCATTGCTACTTGGAAAGATGGAACTTCGCCGAGACCACGTGGGGAAACGTGTTTCTCGCATGCGCGGCAGACCTTCTACACGTCCTGGACGGGGGGATGCTACCGCGCATGGGCAAGTGCTTCATGGCTGGGAAGAGCAAGCCGGAGAGGCGCGAGTTTGAGAGGTGGGTATGCATGGAAATGGCCACACCATTGTTGTCTAACCGAGTGCTTTGCTGACACTCCTACCCAACCATGGCAGGCGGCGCAAGGAACAGAAGAAGGACACGCGCGCAAGCGTAGTGCGCATCCCGGGGGGGACCACATGGTTCAGCACGGGGGCGAACTACGCCGCTTTCGAGCACAGGGGAATGATGCAGGTGATGCCCCTGCTTATCGCAGACAACATGGAGAAGAGCAAGCAGCCGGCTAAGGCGAAACGGGAACGGGAGGTGGCGGCGTTTGTGGCGTACGCCAGCTTCTACAAGGCGCTGGTGGGCGTGACAAAGCATACCGAAAAGTCCCTGGACGACGTCCGGGAGATGGCCGTGAAGTACGTACAATCCGGTTGCTCCTATTAGGTGTGTGGCGCATCAAGTGTGCTTGGGGTGCCTAATCATGCCTCCTATGCGCACGCGCAGGATGGTGGCGGAGATCAAGGCCGCATTCCCTGACCAGACGTCGGACTGGAACATCCCTAAGGTGCACCAGATTGTGCACCTGATTGACGGCATACAACTGCGTGGTATGCCGAACGAGACATCCACCAACCTGTGGGAGCACACGCACAAGGGGACCGTGAAGGTGCCGGTCCGTGGCAGCAACTGGCACGACATCCCGCGCCGAATTGTCGAGGAGGAGGTGCAGCGCGAGATTGCACGGGAGGTGGCGGCGGAAGCGGGTGGAAACAGGCAGTATGTGACAGCGCTGCGCGAGGTGAGCGTAGAGGGTTGTGTACCAGGGCAACGATGTGCTGTATAAAGGAGATTGCCCTCTGGACCCGGGTTCTCACACGTCGCTCGCATGTTGTTGCGTGCACACAGGCAGTGCGGCGCATGAAGCCAGTACTGACGAAGGCTTCAAAGAGGGCGCACGTGGACGAAGACATAGACGCGGTGATGTGGGCGTACCGCGCAACTCACGGGTCAGACATGGACGCACTCGCAGGGTGCATGGTGGCGGCAGGCATCCACACCACCACCATCGAGGTGGGATATGTCGTTCGAGAAGGTGGCTGTGTGATGGTTAATAGCATGTGAAGGTAATAGCAGGTGTGAAGTCTGGGCCACGGCCTTGTGTCACCATCACACCGCATCCACTATACTCTGTATGTGTCCCGGCGTACGCAGGTGCACACAGCCGTGGCGATCCCCCGAACGCGGGGGGGGGGTGCTTGTGCCAAAGGGCACATTTGTGAAGGCCAGTCCTTCTGAGCAGTGGTTTTCAGACATCGCAGTGTACCGGTCCGACAAAGAGGAGTGGTATGCCAGGTGCCTCTGCATCTTCCGCGCAGAGGTGGCAGATGGGGAGATGGGGCGACACGTGTACGTTAAGTACTACGAGGAAGAGGGCACGTGCCCGATGACGTCATGCCTGCAGCTGTCTCCCGGCCGTGTGAGAACAAGATACGCGGTGGTTCCCGTGGAGTGCATCCAGAGGGTGGTGCACGTGTGCAAGTCCTATGTGAACAAGCGTGTCATGCTCCTGAACAAGTTCCTGCTGACGGAATGAGTGTGGTGGGCTGTTCCATTGCCGTGACGTGTGGGCCAAGTGAGGCCATGTGCGCTGATATGGACGCAATTGACGCTAATTCAGTAGACACATGGGGTGGCCCCTTAAATGTTTTTTCTTCTTATCACCAGATGTGTCGTTTGCTTGGGTGGATCTTGCATACCGTTTAACATAATAAGTGGTCTCCACCAGGTGTAGATGTTGGCAAGTTGTTTGAAAAGGTTAATGTGTTTAGGCAGTGCATTTGGTGTAGAGCGGGTTTGACGGAGATGCTTTCCCATTGTACGATGACGCGCGAGCGTCAAATGTGCGGCTCGAGAGGTGATGCTCATCGATTGGGAAAATGTGCGCCTCGATTTTCCCGGGCCCGTTTTGAATTGGGTGGGTGAGCCCTAAAGTTACATTTGCGTCACACGTGTCTTGGGACGTTTTGGGTAGTCGCTGGGACTTTTTGTAAGCTTCTCCGTAGAAAAACCCACTCACCATGAAAAATGTGCTCTTAACTTTTCCGCAGGGCCTCCCCCCATTCCCTCACATCCAACGACCTTTCTTTCGCCACCATGAGTTCTCTGCCTTACACCCTTCTACCCCCTTTCTCCACTGTGCCTTACACCCTTCTACCCCCTTTCCACCCTCGGTGCCTTACGCCCTGCTTCCCCCATTTCCCTCTCTTCCCCACACCCTTCTCCCCCTTTTCCACTCTTCCTTATGCCCTGCGTCTCCCTTCCCCCTCTCTCCTTACACTTTCTTATTGCACAGCGCATGAGTTCTCTTCCTAACGTCATGCATCCCCATCTCCCCTATCTGAATTACACCCTTCTTCTTCCTTTCCCCACTCTGCATTACCCCCTCCTTTCACGTTTCCACCCACGGTGCCTTACGTCATGCTTCCTCCTTTTCTCTATCGTCCCTACAACCTTCTTCCCCCCTCTCCCCTCTCTGCCTTACACCCATCAACCCCCTTTCACCTCTCATCGTATTACGCCCTTCTTCCCCCATTCGCTAAACAAGGCGAGCCGCGGTTCAAGCAGTTTATGGTTTTGAAACAACAGTAAAATAGGACGATCCCATCTTACGACTCATCTCTCTGCCTGGCGTCACCGCGTAATACACGAAATGTGGCCTGATGCGAGTGAACCCTAAACTGTAAAATCGTTTGCGGCTGTTAGATCACTGCTACGCTCCACCGCCGTAGCGGCTTGATCGCCGTTTTGACAGTCCCAACAGTGAGGTATGTGCTTGCTCAAAATTTACTGCTCAGGAGAGTCGCGGACTGACGGGGACATTTTTTGTGTGAGGTCCGCTGGTCTGGGCGCTCGGGGCGTGCGTTCCGCCCAACCCCTTACTGTGCGTTCCCCCTAACCCTGGGCGAATTTGATTAGAGTCGCTGGTGTGGTGTCGTGTCTTCACACCAGGCGTACAAACTGAACCTGTATTCGCTCACGAATCACTAAGCCTCTTGGGGTGTACATGGCAATACCCCCAAAAACCACCCCTATGAATGTGCACCGTCGCTTTAAGTGTTATTGTTAAGATTCGATCATTGGCTCGAACTGTTCATTCGAACTTGGTTCGAGCTGCCTTCAAACGTGTGGTTCGAGCTAGGGCCCAAATCCGCCACCGCTAGCGTAAACACACGCGAAAATTGCCCGGCAAGCTCGACTGTCGGCAGTCGAACTGGTGGCGTTGCCTGCCGAGGGGCCATTTCAAGAGGGTGTCGTGCTGCATGTAAGTTCGTGCTTTCGCCTGTGACCATCGCGACATAACAACATAAGGTACCACCTAAAGTTCGACTTCACTAAACAGACCTGAACTAAAAGTCACGCGCCCTAATCCAGTCGGGGGTGAACTGCGTGCTCGGTCTCATGGTCATGAATGGCGATGAATGGATTAGGTTTGGCAGACGGACGTATGGGAATGTTGGTGGTTGGAAAATTGCTGTGGATGGTGACTTGGGGTTCTACAAGGTTGGGGTTCCAAAAATGGCCCCTGGCGGTCTGCTTTCTACCTGCCGAGGTGACCTGGAATCTGCCTGTTCTATTGTGGCAAGCACCAGTCGATACAATGACAATGACAATGACATCTCTGCCATGGATTCCGCCTGACGGCTTTAAAGCCCGAGTATCACATGGTAATAACAGTGTTACCAGCTGCTTCCGAACACTTCCTCGCTTTCAAGCAGCAGAGGTTATCTGTGATTGGCCAGCGACAAAGCAGAACAACCAGCAGGAAAACGGCCCGAGGGGAAAGCACTGTTCACCTAGAGTAAACTTGAAAACCATCGGGTACGCTTGGACAAGCATATTATGAGGCCGCTAGTAGTAGTTCTCCCGTCACAAACGGGCAATCGTCCTGCTTAGCGCAGTGTTCAAAGACACAAATCAGCGGCCGTTTGGCGAGTTTAGTTGCAGTAGAGCCGAGGCCGCGTAGTATCCTCTACCGCAACCGCCACTTTCTCGCCATATGAAGGTGCAGCGAAACGTAGTCAAAGGCGTCGAAACGAGCCCCTACTCGCGCGTCGCGACAGTATCCCCAGCCTGCCGCCTCCGCCGTCAATCCATCTGCCAAAATAGAGACATGGACTTCTTTTGCAGTCGTAGCTTATCGGTACGACAGCAACGCGAGGGCGTATCACGATTTTGGGCTCGATCGCCCTGGCATCGCCCTGCCGCAAACATCTCATTAGGTTCCGCGTCCCCCACGCTCACGGCCACGCTTCATCTCACCGTCGAAAACCCCCTACACCTCACCAGGGTCTCCCGCTTCCCCTCACCGTCTCTCCCGCTTCCCCTTACCGTCGCATGCCGTTCCTCCTGCCTCCGGGGTGCACCCACGCTTCCCCACACCGTCGCTCACGCCTCCCCCCACATCCACTAACGCTCATCTCCACGCTTCCTCCGATCGTCACTCCCACTTCAGCCCACCGTCAACCACGTTTCCTCCCACCGTCGCCCACGTTTCCTCCCACCGTCGCCCACGTTTCCTCCCACCGTCGCCCACGTTTCCTCCCACCGTCGCCCACGTTTCCTCCCACCGTCGCCCACGTTTCCTCCCACCGTCGCCCACGTTTCCTCCCACCGTCGCCCACGTTTCCTCCCACCGTCGCCCACGTTTCCTCCCACCGTCGCCCACGTTTCCTCCCACCGTCGCCCACGTTTCCTCCCACCGTCGCCCACGTTTCCTCCCACCGTCGCCCACGTTTCCTCCCACCGTCGCCCACGTTTCCTCCCACCGTCGCCCACGTTTCCTCCCACCGTCGCCCACGTTTCCTCCCACCGTCGCCCACGTTTCCTCCCACCGTCGCCCACGTTTCCTCCCACCGTCGCCCACGTTTCCTCCCACCGTCGCCCACGTTTCCTCCCACCGTCGCTCACGTTTCCTCCCACCGTCGCCCACGTTTCCTCCCACCGTCGGCCACACTTCCCCCCACCGTCGCCCACACTTCCCCCCACCGTCGCCCACGTACCCAGGCACACTCTTTCCTCCTTGGTTCATCCTCTCTTTCTCCCTCTTTCCCCCTTCACTCTCCCCCATCCACCCTTTTTCTCTTCCTCCCCAAGACCACTCATCTTCGCTACCTCTAATCAGCCCGTCCTCCCATCTTCCCTTCCTCTCATCCCCCTGTCCTCTCATCCCCCTGTCCTCTCATCCCCCTGTCCTCTCATCCCCCTGTCTTCTCATCCCCCTGTCTTCTCATCCCCCTGTCTTCTCATCCCCCTGTCTTCTCATGCCCCTGTCCTCTCATCCCCCTGTCCTCTCATCCCCCTGTCCTCTCATCCCCCTGTCCTTGAATCCCTCCCTCCCCTCTCTCCCCTGTCATGCAGACGAGCAGGCAGTGGTGATGTATGAGGAGGGCCAGACGAGTTTGACATCAATGCACCTCTCCTTTGCCTTCTCACATCGCATCCCCACCCCCTTCCTCGTTCCCCTCACATTGCTCTTCCTCCTCCCCCCTCCCACAGCCGAGCAGGCAGTGGTGATGTATGAGGAGGGGCCAGACGAGTTTGACATCAATGCACCTCCCTTTGAGGGGCGAGATGGGTTCGAATGGGTGCAGATGGTTCCTCCCCTCCCCTCTCCCCTCTCTCCCACAGACGAGCAGGCAGTGGTGATGCAGGAGGAGGGGCCGGACGGGTTTGACATCGGTGCACCTCCCCCATACAACCTGGCCTTCTGCTCCTATCCCATGTACCGACTCCTCAACCCAAAGACCGTCCAGGAATGGCTACAGGTATGCACAGACAGAGCGGTTACAGGTATGAATGTGCAGGTTACCACACGAGGTGAGGTGAGCCATTGCTTTCTAGGTGAGAACGCGCACTTGTTTCCGTTGCTGGATGCGTCTGTTGTAAAAGACATTTACAAGGTGAGCTGTGGCTTTCCAGGTGAGAACGCGCACTTGTGCACCATTGCTGGGTGCGTCTGTTATAAAAGACGTTTACGAGGTGAGCTGTTGCTGTCTAAGTGAGAATGTGCACTTGTTTCCATTGCTAGGTGCGTCTGTTGTAAAAGACGTTTGCGAGGTGAGCTGTTGCTTTCTGAGGAGAAATGGCTTCCCAGCTTACCCTCCCTCTCCCACTCACTCGTTCACTCACTCGTTCCCTCACTCTCTTCCACCCTCACTCATTTCCACCCCTCTCTCTACCACTCCTCTCTCCCTCCCTCCATCCCTCCCTCCCTCCCCCTTTTTAACTCACTCCATCACTCTCGCCTCCTTCCGCACTCACTCACTCCCTCACTCACTCACGCACCCACTTGCTCCCTCACACACTCACTTTTACACTCATGTACTCACTCACTCTCTCACTCAATTACTCACCCACTCACAGGTCCATGAGCCTTACATGGCTGCGGGGATGATGGAGATATAGCACTCACTCGCTCGCTCACACGCACCTGGCAGCCCAATCACTTGTACCCTTCCGCACTCGCTCACTCACTCACCCTCTCAATCACTCACAGGACTTGGAGCCTTACACGGCTGCAGGGATGATAAAGATACTGACACTCAATCACTCACACACGCCTGGCAGCCCACTCACTCGTATCCTCTCTCTCCCCCTGCCTCACTCACTCACAGGCACTGGAGCCTTACATGGTAGCGGGGATGATAGAGACACTGACACTCAATCACTCACCATGTACCTGGCAGCCCAATCACTCGTACCCTTCTGCACTCACTCACTCTATTATTTCCTCCCTCAATCATTTCCACACTCACTCACCCCCTCACTCACTCACAGGTCCTGGAGCCGTACATCGCAGCGGGGAGGGTACAAGTGAGTGGGGAGGGTACAAGTGAGTGGGGAGGGGTACAAGTGAGTGGGGAGGGGTACAAGTGATTGGGGAGGGGTACAAGTGAGTGAGGACGGGTACAAGTGAGTGGGGAGGGGTACAAGTGAGTGGGGAGGGGTACGAGTGAGTGGGGAGGGTACAAGTGAGTTGGGAGAGGTAAAAGTGAGTGGGGAAGGGTACGAGTCAGTGGGGAAGGGTACGAGTGAGTGGGGAGGGTACAAGTGAGTGGGGAAGGGTACGAGTTAGTGGGGAAGGGTACGAGTGAGTGGGGAAGGGTACGAGTGAGTGGGGAAGGGTACAAGTGAGTGGGGAAGGGTACGAGTGAGTGGGGGGGGCAGTGTGGTGGGTATGAGTGAGTGGGCAGCAGACCGTCCCCTGTTATCTCTGTCCCCCGTTCTCTCTGTCCCCCGTTCTCTCTGTCCCCCTTCCCTCTGTCCCCCTTCTCTCTGTCCCCCTTCTCTCTCTCCCCCTTCTCTCTGTCCCCCTCCTCTCTGTCCCCCTCCTCTCTGTCCCCCTCCTCTCTGTCCCTCTTCTCTCTCTTCCCCTTCTCTCCGTCCCTGTTCTCACTGAACCCCTTCCCTCTGCTCCCCGTCTCTCTGTCCCCTGTCTCTCTGTCCCCCGTCTCTCTGTCCCCCGTCTCCCTGTCCCCCGTCTCTCTGTCCCCCGTCTCCCTGTCCCCCGTCTCTCTGTCCCCCGTCTCCCTGTCCCCCGTCTCCCTGTCCCCGTTCTCCGTGCTCCCCTTCTCCCCGGTTCCCCTTCTCCATCTCCCCCTACTCCACCTACTCCCTAATTTTCTTCCCCTCTGCTCTTGCGTCCCCCTCCTCTCTGTCCCCCTTCTCCCTCTCCCCGTTCTCCTTGTCCCCCGTCTCCCTGTCCCTCGTCTTCCTCACCCCCTTCCCCGCTTACCTATCCCCTACTACAACCCACCCTCTGCTGCGCTTTCCCTCACCCTCTCTACTATTTTCCCCCACCCTGTCTTGCTTTCCCTCACCGCACGCTAGATGTGTGTCAACCGTCGGCGGGCCCTGCGCCACCACACCTCCACCCTCAACCAAGAACAATGCACTGATGTTGATGGAGCCCGGGGGTTGTCCACCTCCAACACCACCTGTTGGCTCGTGCACCACACGAGGGCACGCAATTTTGATCACTGTTGACTATCACTGCAGGAGTGCTTATGTTGTGTCATTTCTTGAAACCAGGACCATTGTGGCAAACATGTATGGTAGACGAACACTCATTCGGAAAAGTCTGGCTTATGGTTTACTGTATGTAAGATCGCCTGGAATATACCTACGTCCGCTGTGACTTGAGCACTTTGACACACACGCATGCTAACCATTCTCTGTCATGAGCAGAAACAGGAAGTTGCTAGCATTAGAAGGGGTAACCAGTTGCTGCCAAAACCACTCAGGCTGGAGTTTTATCAGTGGTGCGATGCGAGCATTTTTTTTTTTGTGGTGCTGATTGGCTGCGCTTCTGCACCATTCCCCCGTCACAGAATGGTCGCCTTAGTGTTTTCGTGTAATGGTGGTCATCCCTGATGGAAGCAGGCCAATCTAAGTGTGGCGAGGTGATGTTTGATTTCGCGGCTCTGAAAGTGGTTCGCCAGGGTTGGTTCAACGAAAAAGGTTTTTGCTCCCTCTCGCTAACACTGTTTCATGTTCAGGAAACTTGGTATTTTGCCATGTGATACTCGGGCTTTAAGGAGCTCGTTTGTGAAGGCCACGTGTCAGTTGGTAACATTGACTATAGATACGGATTCGCCTTATTGTTACGAAGCTTAAGATACACTTCTTGTGTCCAACTGACGGACATTGTATCTTATGCTACAAGGGGTCTGTTTCCCGAGTCAGTCACTAACTCCAAGGTTTCACGACAGTTTCCATGGCTGCTCTGCGCGTCAAGGTCAAGGGATGACACCTGTTCATTGCATCATCAACAAGGAACTCAGTTCGGTTTTCTTCTAAAACCTTCATTGGGAAGTTATATTGTCTTTGACTCAGGTCGAGCGGATTTGCCAGGGAAAAAACCTGGGTCGAGCTCGTCTGGTCGAGCTTGTCTAGACCCACGCGGAAGCGGCGCAAGTTTGCGCCGAGTAAGACAACCCCCACCGTCCCAAGGGCTAGGCTCGGCATGCCCGTGAAACTGTTGTCCCAGCAGATTTGTGCATGCAATGAAGCTGGCGAAGCACGTGCTCTCGCCAACGTCAAAGTGCAGCCGTCAATTGACGTCCACTTTTCGTGCAAACGGTTGCGACGTGATTTGCGCGAACACGTCGCAACAAGCTTGCGAAAACCCCAGCATCGAGAAACTCGATACTGAGGTTCGTGTTAGACATTTGTTCATAGTCAAATTTGTTAGTCTGCACACGTCGTTCTAGATTATATCATCTTCCACTTGTTCTGACGCTTGTTGTTTGCGCGTGTCCGCCTAATATTGCATTTTTAAACGCCATATGTACCTCGGTCGTTCGCTAAGCGACAGACGGGTTGTTTTTTTTCGACAGCTAGAAAGAAGTTCAAAAAAGCATTTATCCAACACAGTTGCAGTTTGCGTTAACAAATCAATACAAACAATAGTTGTTTTAGTGTCATGATAATAAACGACTGTGCTTTGTACACCCGTTTTTACGCTACTAGTCGTATCGCTTGTAATTTTCCTGTTTCAAGTACAATAGAAACCCGAATTCGGAAACGTCATAAACTTTCGGTACCACAAGACAGTTTTGTGCCGGATTTTTCGATTGCGACATGGTACTTTTAACCGTTTCGTAAAAGCAGCATAGCCAATTTAAGCATTTTCTGTAAAAACTCGAAACTGGCCACGACCCGTGTTGTGGTACTATATTGGGAATCCTATGTATTAACATTTTTCGATTGCGCGTCGACCGTGGTCCACGTGGCAGAGTTACTCGTTCTCTGCGGGAGGGGTGTCGCTCAGAGTTACGCAATGGTGGAGGAGCCAACCAATTAGGTGCTCTGACACCGGCGGGAAGAACACCAGATCTGGGGTCTGGCGACCAGATCTAGAGAAGCTGTGGCGGGAAGAAGGGATGCAGTCAGAGGTTGTGGTGTCAAACTATGTATGCTGCATATTGTGTAGGCTGTAGTGGGGTAGCCCATATAGGGTACAACCCAATTAGGGTTTACTACTTGTACTCCTGCATGCTGCTAGTTCATTTATTCCATTCTTGACATGGTTTCAGAGCAGGTCCTAGGCTAGGACCGTTTCGTTAGGGCCCACCGTACCGCGCTACCCTACGGTCGCCCTACCTTGCCCTGCGTTGCGCCGCCACGCACGCCCTGCCCTTTCCTACGTTGCGCTGCCGCGCACGCCCTGCCCTACCCTGCCCGCGCGCTGCTTTTAGCCGCGATATTTTCCCTGCCTGCGCGCCACGCGCCATTCGCCGCCGTGCGCCTTGCCCTGCCTGCGCGCCGCGCGCCATTCGCTGCCGTGCGCCCTGCCCTGCCCGCACGTCGCGCGCAGCTCGCCGCTGTGCACCCTCCCCTGCCCGCGCGCCGCGCGCAGCCCGTCGCCGCACGCAGCTCGTAGCCGTGCGCAGCCAAAAGCCACGCGCAGCCCGTTGCCGCGCATGCCCTGCCCGTGCGCCGCCCGCCGCAGCCACGCACTGCCCCACCCGTGCGCCGCCGCCGCGCCCTGTGCACTGCGCCGCCCGTGCGCCGCGCGCCTGCCCTACCCATGCGCCCTGCCCTGCCCGCGCGCGCTGCCATACCCGCGCACCGCCCTGCGCCCTGCCCTGCCCGTGCGCCGCCCGCCGCCGCGCGCGCCTTGCCCTGCCCGTCGCCCGCCGCCGCGCCCCGCGCATTGCGCTGCCGTGCGCGTGTCCTGCCCGTGCGCCGCCTGCCGCCGCGCGCGCTGTGCTCTATCCACGCGCCGCCCGCCGCAACGCGCGCTTCCCTGCCCGCACGACTTGCCCCGCCTTTGTGCCCCTTGCTGCCACGTGCCCTGGCCTGCCTGTGCGCCGCCCTGCCCTTCTGCTGCTGCGCTCGCCTGCTCTGCTTGCTATGGCGACTCTCAGTGTCCTCACCTTCGATCCGGAGGGCCGTGCGATAGAGTTTCAGTCCTGGCTCGATGACTTACAGCTGTTTTTACTGAGCGACTCTAAGGACGGCATCTCACTGTTTGACCTCACATCTGGAGCCTGTACTGCCCCTGACAACACCGCTGACAGTACGACTCGCTCACAGTGGCTTACCCGTGACGCTACTGCTCGCCTAGCCATTTGTAACCACCTGCCGTTAGCCGAACGCGCTCACTTTGGCCAGCACAAGACTGCTAAAGCCTTGTATGACGCAGTAGTCGCTCGCTACTCCTCCCCGGCCACTGCTACTCTAGGCCGCCTGTTACTACCCTATCTGTTCCCAGAGCTGTCCGCCTTTGCCACAGTCGCCGACCTCGTCACTCACCTTTGCACTAGTGACGCCCGCTACAGAGCCGCGCTTCCTGCCGAGTTTCTCACCAAGAAACCCTCCTCCCATGTACATCACCCTCTACTTCATAGTCACCCGCCTCCTTGACTCTCTTAGCGCTGTCAAGGACCTCCTTCTCGCCCTTGACCCCACAGACCTCACTGTCGACCTGCTCGAGAAGCACCTCCTCGCAGCTGAGTCTAGCATAGTCGCTGTAGGTGCTTCTCGTGGCACTCCTCGCACTCCCTTCTTTGAGGGGTGCTCGCCCTCCCCCCTTCTCCCCTCCGTCGCCTCTGCTGCAGCTGTTGACTACCTTCGTGCTGAGGAGGTGGGAGCAGCGTCTGCCCCTAGTGGGAGGCGCCACAACGGCACAGGCAAGGGGGGCAGGGGCGGTGGGGGTGGCAGAGGAGGAGGCAGTGGTTGGGGTGGTGGCGGCGGTGGAGGGGGTGGTGGTGGCGGAGAGGGTCGAGGTGGTGGTGGGGGTGCAGGTGGCGGTGGTGGGGGCGGAGGTGGGGGTGGTGGTGGCGGCCGTAGTGGAGGCCGTGGGAGTGCAGGCGACGGCGGTGGTGGCGGCTGGGGTGGTGCTAGCCAGAGGGGAGGCTTTGGCGGTGGTCAGAGGCAGCAGCAGCAGTGTTCGGCCCTTTCGCCTCAAGAGCTTCGTGAGTGGTTTGCTCAGCGTGGGACGGCTGGGGGTAGTGGTACTTGCCCGTACGTCATTCGCACTGGTGACCGCGCTACTCAGACATGCGGGAAGCTTCACACCCAGTACCGTTGCTTCTCTCGTCTCACAGTTTCCCGACGCCGCTGAACTCCCCCCTTGGGCAGAGCTGCTTAAGCAGGGTGTAGACATCTTTGATCTTGATTATGATGCTATTCTTGCTGCCATGTATGCATTGACTGTTAGTGCTGAGGGTGACTGTTACCTGTGTATGCTGCCAGACCCAGGCATAGAGACTGCTGCTCTAGGTGCTAGTGAGTCTGCTGCTCCAGGTGCTAGTGAGACTGCCCTCTTAGGTACTGAGTATGCTACAACCTTGCACACCTTCACGCTTGACTCAGGTGCTTCACGTTGTTTCTTTCGCGACAGTACCCCAGTCACACCTCTCGCAACACCTGTTGCTGTCTCTCTGGCTGACCCATTGGGTTGACACCTTCACCCCTGGAGGACAGCGTGTGGCGATCTGTACGTGCTCCCTGAGCGGCAGGCCGTCACCTGGCCACGTTCACCCGTCAGCCTGGGTCGAGTCTGTACACACTGACTACTGTGTCTCCCCAGGTAGTTGCGTCTGCGTCTGCGTCAGGTCAGCTGTCGGCCCCCTGCTCGTGTCGCGCCCTGTCGCACCGGACGCTCCTTTGGCACCACCGCCTTGGTCACCCCTCCGTGGCACGCCTTCGTGGCATGCACTCCTGCTGCCTTCTGGTCTCTGGTCTTCCCAGGTCCCTGCCTCCCCTACCGCCCTCGCCTGCCCTTCCCTGTCTTCCCTGTGTCGAGGGGCGGCAGCGTGCCGCTCCTCACTCCTCTTCGTTCCCCCCGACGACTGCTCCCTTGCAGACTCTCCACATGGACG